GCAGGTCCCACATGCGGGGCAGGAGTTGCTCTGCACTGAGGCCCTTCTGGACCCAGGAGCCTGCTCTGCGCGGGGCTTCTCTTTCCACCTACATTTGTCTTTGCTGCAGAGGATAAACCCGAAGGGAATGGGGTGAGGGATGTGTGTGACATGATGGCTCCTAACTTTCCTGTTAACCCTCCCCACAGCCAGACATATCGTGAAGGTGGATGGGAGAGCGGGGCTCTTCAAAGGCCTCACGCCACGGCTCTGCTCGGGGGCCATCGGCACCATCGTGCACAGCAAGGTGCTGCAGGTATGATGATCGTCTCCACTCTGCCCGCGGGCCGGGACGCTGCCAAGGCCTCGGAGGCTCTTCAGCGTCCCGTCCCATCAGCGTCCCGCTCCGCTGTCGGTGCTGATCCCATGGCCGAAGGGCCTTCCCTCGTCCCCCGCTCGCTGCGCTGACTGTAGCCTTTTCTCCCTAGCGGTACCAGGAGGCTGAGCAGGCTGAGGTACGTCCCAGACTCTTCCCTTTTGAGGATCCACTCTCCCCTCCCTGGCAGCTGCTCCTGCCAGGCAAGGCTGTGTCCCGTGGGCACTGGGAAAAGCGGAGGCAGCCTGGAATAGAGCTGGGTTTTAAGCGCTGCTCCCAGAGAACCACAGAGAGCCAGACCGCTGTGCAGCAATGTGACCTGGGGGAGTCTGGTGGGGCTGGGATGCGGGGGGCCTATGGGCCTTGTACTGGGGAGGGCTGATGGTTTGGGCCTTGGCGGGGGTGGCGTGTCTGGCGGCTTGTCCCTTGTCCCACACCTCCTTGCTCCCTCCAGCTAGGAGCCAGCAAGAAGGAGCCCGTGTCCTCGCTGGAGCAGGTCCTCAAGGAGGTAAGAGTGCAGCCGGGGCTGGACAACAGACCTGAGAGCTCCGCTTCTTCCCTGGTGGGGACTGATCTGGAGCGAAGGTCCTGAGCCGTCTTTCCTAGGGCTTGTGCCTTAGGGAGCCTCTGTCTCAGGAAGCGCTGGCAGAGGGGAAGGGAAGGACTCCTGCCCTAGCAGGGTGCTGCGTGATAGCAGGGTTGTTTCCGGGCCAAAGTCTGGCTTGAGATCCCGAATTGCCCTCGTTCCTCGCAGCCAACAGGAGGAGGGTGTTGGGGTGCGGGCGTTGGGCTGGGAGAGCGTGAATCCTTGTTGTGCTTGGGACCAACCTCCAGGCCCCCTCCTGCGGCCCCCGCGCTGCCCTGCCCCCTGCCCGCTCTGGCTGACGGCCCCTTTCTCCCGCAGACCTCCCGCGAGATGGTCGCTCGCTCCGCCGCCACGCTCATCACCCACCCCTTCCACGGTCGGTCGCCCCCGGGCAGCGGAGGCGGCGCGCGCCG